GGGTCGGATCTAGTAACCCAACCCAAACATGGCTATTTGATTCAGAACCCAGTTAGGGTTTCCAGGCGCCGTCGCTTCTTGAGCCATACGATCTGGACCCATCCAACGGTCCAGATCAGTGACCATTTAGGGTTTAACCCTAATTATCGAGCCAGTCACCAACAGCCGCCGAACGTTCCAGCTTCCAGCCACGCTAGCCGTCGCCGAACCATTCCGAAGCCATCATTGAGACATCAAGCCGAGACATCCAGGGCCACCACCATTGACAAGCATGCAACAAATCAGCACCCAAAGTCAAAAACATATTAACCTAACCCCGAAAATCACGGGAATCTAAACCTAATCCACCACCGATTTTCAACATTCAACAGACCCATATGAAATGATAAATGGAGACATTTCGGTGAGGAGAAAAACCACGGAAAAAAAAGAGTGATTAGAAGGAGATTCAAACTAAAATAAAGAAAAAAAGAGATCCTGTGTAGGGGGTTTCGAATAAACCGAGAGGTTTCTTCTTAGATTTACGGTGGTTGGGCTACTTTTAGGCTAAAAGGATCTCAAATCCTTGCTCTAGGCCACGAGAGGCTTCGAGTGATACCCACTTCTCTTCCTTCCGACGCCGGCGTACGGCGGTTGCCGCTGCTCAGTGGCGGCCGGCACAGAGGAGCCTCGCCGGCCTTTGAGAGTTCTCTGGAACTCTCTCAAATTCTCTCTTCCACTCACGCAGAAGGAAAGCAAAATGAGAGTTGGGGTTAATTTTGAGGCGTTTCACAGCTCTTATATTTGACCCAAAACGGCATCGTTTCGTGGAGGACCTGCTGAGCATTTTCGCGCCTGGGATATTCACAGTAAAGGTCCTCTTTATATTGTAAACTTTCTATTTAGATCATCAGTGCGACTTCATTTCTTTTTTATTTCGATCTTCTGTTTTATTTAAGTTGTAATTTCGCCTTAATTTGTGTTTAAAACATTTTCTAGTTTGGGTGTAATGTGTTAGTATATTTGTATTTCGGTCATGCATGTGTTATATAGTTCATTCTAGTTTTTATTTATTTATTATTGTTATTGTTTTTTTTGTTTAGAATATTGTGGGTGTCCTGATATTTTATATTTTTCTATTTCAGTCCTTACATTTTCTGTTTATTCAAGTTCATTGATTTGTGATTCAATTCGTTTAGACCCTTGGTTAAATGTCATTTACTTGGGAAAAGATTTTTAATGATAGCAACTCTCAGGATAGCCAGCTGTTGGGGAAGGAATTTGAAAAATCTTGGGCGAGGGGTTCAAGGCACTACCATTGGCAGATAAAAAAGACTACATTATTTTGTCGGATAAAGAATACCATGATTTAGAATGGGTGGCTTACAGGTTACAGGAAAGTGCTCAAAAAGATATTAATGAGGGTAGAAATGAAACTAAAGTTTACATTTTTTCCTAATGTAGTAAATCAAGGGTCTGCATCACTTGTCTCCAAAAGACCCTTAGAAGATACAATAGACACGGGCATGTTGTCAGATATAGACAAAACAGATCAGGGCCTACGGAAAAGTATTCAAAGGTCAAAACGGTGTAAATCAGGCTAGGCTATTGATGAAATTATTAGAATTTTTAATATGGATCTTAAATTTATTTAGCTTGTGTTTTCGTCCTTAATTAATATTTTAAAAGATAAATATTTAGTGTATTATGGTTCCTATATTTTAATATGATTCCATTTTAATCTGAATATTTAGTGTATTAGGTTACTTTGAATATTTATTTTATTCTGAATCATTTAATTAATATTTTGATTATGAGAAAATAACTTCAGTGACCGAAAATGCCTTATAATATACGATTTTAACCAACTTTTTTTGGATTTGCGAAAATGACCAATAAATTCGCAACGCGATCTCAAATTCGCAACGCAAATAGTTAAATCGCAACGTGAATTTCGTTTTCGCAACGCGAATTCTCAAATTCACAACTCGAATTTCGCAAGCGTTGCGAAAATGAAATTCGCGTTGTGATTTTCCAAATTCGCAACGCGAATAGTTAATTACCTATATAGGTAATTAGCGTTGTGATTTTTCAAATTCGCAACATGAATTTTGTTTTCGCAAGCGTTGCGAAAATCGAGTTGTGAATTTGAGAATTCGCGTTGCGATTTACCTATTCGCATTGAGAATTACATATTATCGTTGCAATTTAACTATTCGCGTTGCGAATTTGGAAAATCGCAACGTTAATTACCTATATAGGTAATTAACTATTCGCGTTGCGAATTTGGAAAATCGCAACGTTAATTACCTATATAGGTAATTAACTATTCGCGTTGCGAAAATGAAATTCGCAACGCGATTCTCCAAAATCGCAACGCGAATTTCGTTTTCGCAACGCAAATAACCTATATCGGTAATTAGCTTTGCGAAATTCGAGTTGCGAATTTGGAGAATTCTCAATGCGAATAGGTAAATCGCAACGCGAATTCTCCAAATTCGCAACTCGAATTTCGCAACACTAATTACCGATATAGGTAATTAGCGTTGCGAAAACGAAATTCACGTTGCGATTTAACTATTCGCGTTGCGAATTTGGAAAATCGCAACGCTAATTGCCTATATAGGTAATTAACTATTTGCGTTGCGAATTTGGAAAATCGCAACGCAAATTTCGTTTTCGCAACGCTAATTACCTATATCGGTAATTAGCTTTGAGAAATTCGAGTTGTGAATTCGAAGAATTCGCGTTGCGATTTACATATTATCGTTGCGATTTACCTATTCGCATTGAGAATTACATATTATCGTTGCGATTTAACTATTCACGTTGCGAATTTGGAAAATCGCAACGCGAATTTCATTTTCGCAACGCTAATTACCTTTATAGGTAATTAGCGTTGCGAAATTCGAGTTGCGAAAACGAAATTCGAAACGTGATTCTCCAAAATCGCAACGCGAATTTCGTTTTCGCAACGCTAATTACCTACATCGGTAATTAGCGTTGCAAAATTCGAGTTGCGAATTTGGAGAATTCGCGTTGCGATTTACTATTATCGTTGCGATTTGACTTTCGCGTTACGATTTTGGAACTTGTGTTGCGAAACTGGAGTTCGGTTGCGAATTTGTTGGTCATTTTCGCAAATACAAAAAAAATTGGTTAAAATCATATATTATAAGGTATTTTCGGTCACTGAAGTTATTTTCTCTTTGATTATTCATCTTTTATGTTTATTATTATATTACATGTGATTTTATTTGCTTGGTATTTCGTAATTCTTGAATGTTTGTATATCAATTATCCTTATATATTACGTTCATATTAATTGATTTTGTGCCAACATGTTATTCATATCTCATATTTGATTAAATATTTTAATATTTCGTGAATTTGTAGAACGGGCGTAGAAAGTATCACTTGATCGAAGTGGTACAATCTAACACGACATTCGAACAAATACGAACTTGAAATAAATCAATTTTATTTTACTAATTAATTTATTTTACTAATACAATGTGTGTTATTTTAATTCACAATTTATTTCATTGTATGCAAATGAAACTTGTCAATTTTCATTTATATTCGATTCATATATTTATTAATGAGAGAATATTCTTTTATTGATAAGAAATAGTTGAGTTAGTTTTCCCGACGAAAGATTGCTAATATTAAGATATCTTTTCAAATTAAACAATTTTCTCTACTTAATTAATTTGAAGCAAATTAATATTCAATAAATGGATCATAATTTAATTTTATATTCGATTAATATTTTCCACTATTACGACAACGTGTGAGCGACACAATACCAATTTTGGGCGTTGTGGGGTGTTAATCTTCCCCACGCATAATCGATTCCCGAACCCTTTAAAATAAACCTCTGGTAACGCAGACCAATTTTGTCTTTTAAAAATAATTTTTCTTAAAATTGTTTTAAAATACGTTTTTAGGTATTTGACCTACCTAACCCAAAGGTCGATGGTGACTCTATCCAATTTAATCCAAAATCACTCATTTTCCAAAATAAAAAGTTGTAATCGTTTTTAAACAATAAACAATTGTTCCACCTAAAAAATGGTTATGACAGTATGTATTTAATATCTTGTGTACATTTATGAATTCATGGTGAAATTGATGTATTGATTCATGTTTGAGTTGTTATTGGCTGTGATATATGTTGTCTATGATTTAGGTAAAGTTTGAAAGGTTTTTAAGTATGTTTTAGGGGCGATTTTGTCCATTTTAATGCATTTATTATCGATAGTATACATATGGTATTGATACCAAATTAATAGGTGAATTAGTACTGTCTGTGAGAATATAAATACCACAGGTCAAATTTATATTACAATATGTATTTTTTGTATCAATACTGGAATTATGATACCCAAAATTTGATATCGATGCTAATTAATTGAAATAAGGACATAATATACTTATTTGGTATCAATATTGTCTAAAGATATTGATATTGTTCACACAATATTGATACTCATAATTTAGGGTCCGTTTGTTTCACTGAAAACGTTTTCGGAAAATTAAATCTGGAAAATGTTTTATAGAAATGTAAATCATTTTCCAGAAAACATTTTCCAGTGTTTGGATGGTACATTGTAAAATGTTTTACACTGTTTGGGTAATTTTCCTGAAAATTGTTTTCAGAATTTGTTTTTAATGAAGAAGCTGTACATATTGAACATGTTTTATTATTTTTTAAAGGTTCATTTTTTATATATAATTATATTTTATAAAAATGTGTATTTTAGATAATATTAATAATTGATTAAAAATATATTATAAAAGTTGAATAAAATATGTATTTTCATAAAACTATGCTTTGTTTTTTTAGCCAAGAAAATTGCTAATTTATTATTGCAGACGTCTTTAGTTTTACTATTGTCTTTGAACTACCTCTGAAATTAATGCAGTAACAATACAAACAAAAAAATTAGCCTTGGATTTCATAAATAAATCAATGTGAAATTAATGCACAATCTAAGGCAAAATTTTAAAGGCTCTCCTCAAGTAACTAAAGGCACATAATAAGTGTTCTCATCATTTGTGCATCTAACCATACAACAAAATTATGTTCCAAGGTATATATACTACTATTCCTTCAGTCAAAGCCTAAGCTCACAATCCTAAGAAGCCAAGCTCACTGGCCTTCTCCTTCTCGAAGGTCTCAAAATATTGATAAATGATTGTGACCGCAAGAAGTATGCCGGTTCCTGATCCAATTGCTCCCATAAGGTCTTCCAGAACTGTGAGTGCACCGATGCACATGCCTCCGAATGCAGCAGCTGTGGGAATGTAACGGTTCAGCTCTTTCTGTAAGCTTTCCTCGCGATGGCCAGGCATAACCATTTGTTGTTCCTTACGAAATAGCAGACAAAAATTGATTCATCAAACGCTAAACGAAGAGTAATGGTGCCTCAACTGATGAACTACATGCATAGCATACTCATCTTCTAGTTCCTAGTGTACTCAATCATCCCAGGCGGTTAGTGGGACTAAAGGAGATTAGTGGGGATTCTTGGAGAAAAGTTGCATACCCAATCACCTACAGCAAACAGGCTCATTAGAACAGGATTCTGAAGATCTCTCTTTTTCCTCAAAGCATAAACATCGAGACATGCAAGACCAAAGCTCCATAGCAGTTGATGCCCCATAGATGCAACCAAATAGCTGAAACAAAGAACATACAAAACATCAAAGCTGCATCAAATAAAAATTATTCTAGTGCATTTCTACTCTGTTTTAACCATCCTTTACACCCCATGGTCCCCATCAAGCCTAAACATTTTCCCCCTTCCCAGGAATATAGAACTATAAGATTCCACATGAGATAAACTTAAATGCCATCTCACATCTAGTCAAAACAGCAGCTTTTAACATTTTCACAATAGAAACTCACACTTTGTGAGACTTCAAAAATGAACTAGAACAAGTTCCAACAGTGTTGCACATTTGAGACCTCAGTCATGAATAACAAAAGACACAGAGAATACATACTCTAGACAATTATGTACTCAAGTTCATTCAAACCTATACTATACCTCAGTCTTGAGTGTCATTGGCTCAAATGAATGGATGTGTCAGACTATCACTATAAGCATAAACAAATATTAAAACAAAGTGATTGCACCATGCATATTAGCAGAAAAGTTGCACAAAAATCAATTCTTTTTTCCTGCTATGCTATTAACCCCAACAAAATTACTCAGTTCAAAACAAAATTTTATATTACAATAAAAAAGAACGCTTCAAACAACCAATTTTTGAATATTTCCCTAGACACCATAGTGACAATATTATCAGCGTGTAGATGATTCCTTCTGCTTAACCAAGTAAGTTACAACCAATTTGCACAACTTCATATTCAACTTAAAATACAGTTTCAGAAGAATTGATAGGCTTTAAAATCACAGCCTCTAATACCTCATCCAATAGTCATTACAAATTGAAGTCAATAAATTCTCATTCATTTCCATTTTATAATACAAAAAACACAATTTAGAAATGAAACCCTCTTCAAACTAGGGCCCAAAATTGATCTAAACTTAAAATACTGAAAAGGGTACTCTTTTTACCGATAAATTCAAACCAGTAAACCCGGAGAACAAAATTCAGTTGCATGATTCATATAACTGTTAGTAATTTGAACGAATTTGCACCAATAAGCTGATTAACAAATTATGTCCCCCAGCCGACTATGTAATCTGATTCAAACACGTCATTTTAACTAAAATTTAGTTAATAATTAGACCTCAAAATGCTGATACAATGGCAACAAATCAAAGAAAATTAAAATTTCCATATACACCGAAATAGGGGGAGCACAAATCAGAAAAGGTAAATTTGAGATCAAACCGAACGAAGGGGGAAAGGAAAAACATAAGTACCAGAAAGCAATGTAGGAAGAGAAATCAGAGGTAGAGACCATGACCTTCCCGTACTTGTCGAAGAGTGGAAACAAATCATCAGCAGTCGTGCCTAAACGGATTCAAAATCAAACCAAATCGAAGGTTTCTGATTTCTGTCGAGCCAGTGAAAATGAAAATGGAGGTCAAGGAAGATGAAACAATAATTAAAAGGAGGTTAAGGAAGATGAAAAGGGAGAAGATGAAAAGGGAGATACCTGAGAAGACGATCGTCCGCCTCTCCGGTGAGAAGGAGGCCACTGGATCGCTCGATTTTTCGATGTGGAGCAAGGTACGGGAAAGCGAAGGAAAATGACTTACCCTTTTCCAAACGGTAAGTCATTTTACCTTGTTTTGCTTTGAGTTTTCCGTTGATCGTAAAACAAATTCCGTTGACCCTCATATTTTACGGGAACCAAACACAGGAAAACGGGGAAAACATTTTCCGTAAAATGTTTTCCCCCAACCAAACAGACCCTTAGTATTGATACCCACTTCTTAAATTGGCTAAAATTGTCCAGGTGGTCTCTAAATTATGTAAAGTTTGTGATATTATATATAAACTTGTACTGCTTACATATAAGTCCCTACATGTGATTGAATGATTGTAAATCTATTATTTCATTAAAATTTGAGTTACACATTGATCAGCTAATGTGGTATCCACAACCTAATTTCCAACTAAACCATGATTATCAGATTCTAAGTTTAATAGTCTATGACTAAACTAGAGCTTATAATGTGTTTAAAGCTTACATATGTCATATATTAGTTTATACTTAAGTTGATTTATTGACTTGCAACTAATCTTTTTTTCTTCTTTTTTTTTAGTCTCTGTCTGAAATATTTGGCGGCTCTGCTAAGTTTGCGAACCTTGAATTATTTAATGATTTCTTAAATAGTGACAAGGAACAACACCTTCCAAATCCTCCTAATGCTGTAACTCAGACAAACCCCTTCTAACTCTTGTTGTAGATTTGCATCCAGAGCAGATAACATATTCTCATAATGTGTCTTTTAATGATCGAGAAATTCATGCAAACAATGAATCCACCCGCCCCTCGCGCACGGCCCATTCTTGGGGAAATCATTTGGGGTTTGTTTGAAAAAGGTAAATAGCCAATATAGGGATTACATGAGGTCCACACTCCATACATAATTTATCGAATGAAGGTTTTCTTCCGAGTAAATAGCCAAATAAAATTTATAATCATAAAAGCTTTGCAGATGCTGAGACGAGAACCTATCAGTCTCTAACCAAGCTCCTGAAACAACAAAGCAGCAACTAAGAAGGATAGACAGGCAACTTTAGACATAATACCACACGAGAAAAAATAACACGAACATGACAGGGCAGGAACACAAGAACGTATCGAATCTATATAACATTTACTTAAAATATTTTAAATATTAACGGGATAATACACAAATAAATTGAAATCGGATATGATTGTTCATGTTGCATAACAGTGGGATTCTTGCATAGAACCTTTCAATCAACTCCATCCATTGGTTTTAGGATCCATTTTAACTAATTCTATAAATATATTTATTTGACTATCTAGTTAAATGAAATATATCCGCATTAGTTGTAGTAAAGAAGTAGAGTTGCAAATGAGACGAGACAGATCACGAGCTAGTTGAGATCGACTCGATCAAAGATCGATCAACTCTCAAATCAAATAGCCTCAACTCGAACTCAAGCTTGACTCGAATTCTTCACGAACCAAAACGAGCTACTTGATACCCAACTTGAAAAGCTCGTAAGCAACTCGGAAAAAATAATATATTAAATATTTATTTTTTAAAAATTAAATTATTATTAATATTAACATTTATAAGTTTTTTTAAAAAGAAATACAATATAATGCTTTTATGTATTAAAGGTTTAGTATCGAGCCCGAGTTTGAGCTTCAATCAAGCTAAGTCTAAGAATATTTCGAGTTCAAATTATTTCAAGCTCGAGTCGAGCTTGACAATTTTAAGCTCGTGAGTTTTCGAGTCAAGTAGAGCTCAATTTTATACTTTTTGAGTCGATTCGAGCTCAGCACCACTCCAGCTCGACTCGGTTCGTTTACAATCCTAGTTTAACCAAAAAAATAACTATCTTAAACCAACATGAGACCGTACACCATAGCCTGCAGTTGTCTCATTATAAGGGATCGAATGGAGTCACTCATTCAGTATAGCTCATAACTTAATGCTAGAAACTGAAGACCAGAGAAAATTTCCAGCCGTGTGCAAGCAAAATTACACAAATAATAAGATGCCAAACACTTACAGTGAAACAGAGACAAAGGGTAACTTATGAGGCACGTACAGGTTTATTTGACTCACCAGAAAGCAATGAAGATTACAATGCTGATGAAGAGAACCGTTGAATTGCACTTGGTAGCCATTCATTAAAGAAAGAATGGAAATCAGTCTCTGCCGGAGAAACGGCTCCAAGAGGAGTTACAGTGATCTGAAATAATAGTTCAAGTATCACACATAAATTACAAACTATATGATTGAAAGAAGTTGCGTTGGGTTGAGAATAGATACTCACATATCCTTCCTGAAGAGATCTCTTATCGGTATCAACTTCATCAAGAACAGCTCCTCTTATCTATAAAGATTGAAAAGAAATATATAAATTCAAGCAAGTGATGGAAGGTAAATGCAAATGCCCTAACAAACGAGGCATTTAGCTACCAACTTATTCACATCATAATTTTGAATAAAATACTAAAAGGTTTTCAACTTGATAATTCATATGTATATTACTCGGGCTTGTGTGTGTAAGTCATATACCAGAAAGTCACATCCCCATACCCGTGTCTGACACCCATGTATGAATATGTCAGACATGGGTGCTGCCAGTTTGGCATTATTTTTGAAAAGTGCTTTTAAAAAGTTTGGTTTAAGATTTAACTGAATACTTCAAAAAAATAAAAAAAATAAAGAATTGGAGAGATGCATACCGACATTCTAGTAATTCAAATAGAAAACATCAACTTCTTAAGCATAGGTTTAAGTGGGAAAAAGCCAATTAATATTTGCATAATTAACGAGAAACCAAGTTAGCAAAATAGTATTATGCAACAAAAAATTTACTTAGAGAATAAGCGATCACCTCTCTTTTGTACAAGAGGTGTCCGGCTGGTACTGTTGCTGTGTCAATTTCTGTCCTTGCCGATGAGTCTGATTCCATTTCCATTGAGGATAACATCTTTCCTCCTTGCCTTTCTGAAATAACTTGCTTCCACCCCATTTTGAATATACTTCTACCCTGTCTAGTCAACTTATATCCCTTGTTGAGGGAAAGAAACAGAGAGAGAGAGTTAGAGAGAGAGAGAGTGTCAGAGAGTTAGAGAGAGAGAGAGTGTCAGAGAGGGAGTGGGAGAGAGAGAGAGGGCCTCAGGCAGTCAGTCCTCCGACGAGGATTGGACAATATTTGTGGACAATTTGAGTAAGAGGGTAACTTGGAGAACAGTAAAGGAAATTTTTCAACAACAGGGGAGTGTTCTGCGCGTTTACATTCAGAGCAGTTCTTCTAAGCCAAATTATAGAAACCATACGTTTGCTTTCGTTCAGTTTGCAAAGGAAGATGGGCTGAAGAAGGCGATAGCAAATGTCAATGGGATTTGGATAGATGGAAAGAAAGTTTCGGTAGGAGTAGCTAAATATCAAAAGCAGAGGCTCAGGCAAGCTGTTAGTAGTAACGTCAGAAGAGAAGAAGATAAGTTGAAGAAGGGAATGACTCCGAGAAGAAGTGGTGGATCTGAGTTTTTCAATCGTTTGAGGGATGACAAATCATATAAGGATGCGTTAGTATCTTATGATGGGCGGAGGGAAGTTCCGGCGAGTAAAGAGCCGAGGGTCATCCAGGAAAGGAAGCAAGTCTGAGGAATTTGTGGGAGATGCATATTCACTCAGATGATTATGAGTGGGTGAAAAGATCATTAACAGGGATTATCAAATTCCATTTTGAATTGGAGTTAGTAGTGAAGGGGCTGGCCAGTGAAGGGATTAAGGTAAAGGGAGCTAAATGGGGTTATTCATGGAATTCTTGTATCTTAACCTTTGGCTCGAAGGAAGAGTTTGAGGAGGCGTGGTTGAACAGAAGGGAGGAACTGTTCTTTTGGTTTGATTGGCTCGACCCACTTATGAGTATGATGGTGTCCGATGGCTTTTTGTTCGGTGGAATTGGTTGGAGTCCCCTTGCTATGTTGGAATGTTCCTTTTCTGGAAAAGCTTGTTTCAAGGTGGGGGAAACTGGTGTGTATTCATGAGTCGACGATCAGAACAGAAGATCTGGCGGTGGCAAGGGCACTATTGAGGGTGGCCAGTCCTTATGATATTCAGGAATCTGTTATATTGGGCTCGTATGGGAGATCCTTTAAGGTGAAAATTAATGTGGGATCAGTTAGTACAAAACAGGATAACTCTTCAGTAGCAGATTTTACGGTGGCCGATGATGGTGAGTTCAGAGATGAAGCTTCATCGGAGGAGAAAGAAGATAGGTGTTCAGGCGGGGTAGGTAGCTCAAAGTTGCCAGCTGAGGATTCTAGGGACACAATAGACAGATGGTTGGTAGGGGATGTTCGTACAACAGTGGTAGGCTGCAGTGAAAATCAGCATTTAATGTTGCAGGTTGGAGAAGGTCAACCTAGTGGAGGAAAGTTATCAGATTTTTCAGATGAAGATTTGAATTTTAAAGGGGATTACCGGGGTCTTGGTTTAAGGAATGATATCTTCTTTGAAAGGGAGAAAGCCCAATCAGAGGAGTTGAGTGAGCCCAATTAAAAAAACATTGATATTTCCCCTGCTGGGCCAGCTGTTAATTAATTAAATTGGGCTATGGTCATTATAAGGAGTCTCAGGGGGAAATATTAGGAGTTCAGCAGCATCATGGTTCGGCTGAAACAAATACGCAGAATGTGGATAATGTTCCATCAGACTTAATCCCAATTTCGATTCCTAGTGGGGCCATTGACAGAGGGACTTCAAAAAAGTCAAAGGATGAAAGGTTAGAGGAAGTAACAGTCCAGGATAATGAAGATAGTAGAGTGGAGGCAACAGAGGTGGTAAGGGAAGCAAGGCTAGTTCATATGGGTAGTAACCAAGGGTTAGGATTATATAAAGACTCTCTTGTAAATGGTTTAAGGAGTTGGAGTCCTTTAGATCATTTGTCTAGAAGTCTACATATAAGGAATGCATCGATAGGAAGGTGGAATGGAGGCTCTATCTCTAGAGTGTATAAAAGAACTAGATACAAAAAGGTGTGGTTTAACCGAGCAGGGAAGAAGGAGCATTGCAATCTTTGGTGATGACTGATCATAACATGATTATATTGAGCCTATGGCGAGTAATCAATCTCTTCCTGTTATTGTGGAGGGAAGATCCATGGGAGTGGAGGAGGTAGGTGGTTTTAGGCACATTTCTGCAAAGGTTAGGAGTGTAAAAGATGCTGTAACAGATTGTCAGTCTGGTCCAGTGGTTAGGGTGGACAAAAGAAGGAAGAGAAGGCTTCTGATCAGGGAAGCTCTGGATGTGGTCAGTCTCCATACTGCATCATCTTCAAATTTCTCGGTATTTTTGGAGGCTTTGGCAACATGGAAGTCGGTAGAATTTTAGGGATTACATTCAAAGAGGGGAAGAAGGCCTTGGAAAAAATTATAAATTTTGAGGAAGGATTGGATGAAAGCAGGGTAAGGTTGGACTCGGGGGAATAGACTTTTGTCTACTTTTTTGCTACGAGGCTTTGGTTTAACAACAGTCTTCATGATAAAGATAAACATTATTTCATGGAATGTAAGAGGTTTTGGTAAGAAGGAAAAATCAAGAGCTTTAGCAACTATGGTCAGGAAGCACAAACTGTGCATCCTCCTTATTCAAGAAACAAAGTTAGTAAATTGTTCTCAGGCTCTTAGGAGAAGGATAGGTGGTAGTATTTTGAATGGAGGAATGTTTGTTCCAGCAGTGGGGTCTGCAGGGGGTTTAATGGTTGTGGAATGATAAATTTTGAAGTTCTCAATAGTCACTTAAGTGGTCAATTCATAGCAGTTTTTGGGAAGTTTAAGAACACAAGTGAAGAGTGCGTGATTATTAATGTGTATGGTCCTTTCATTGATTCGGAAAAGGCTGAATTTTCAGGGAACTGTTGGATTTCGTTGCTGCTCAAACCGTGTCAGTCTGCATTGGGGGGGATTTTAATGTGTACCTTGATCCGATAGAGAAGTTGGGAAAGTCTCAAAATTGGCTCTCTATTGATATTCTGAGAAATTTCTTGAACCAAACTAGCTTGATTGATCTTCCTATGGTAAGGGGAAAGTTTACATGGTGTAATAATAGAGAAGCTTCTACTTGGGTCAGACTTGATAGGTTTCTAATTTCTGCGAATTTTCTGATCTGTTTTCCGAATATTGTGCAGAGCATGTTACCTAGGTCTTTATCAGATCACAATCCCATTGCATTGGAGGAAAAATCTATAGATTGGGGCCCTAAACCGTTCAGATTTTTAATTATCTATTAAAGGAGGAAGGTTTTGAGGATTTGGTTAAATCGTCCTTGGATAATTTGCGGGTGAGAAAGAGGAAAAGGGGTATCTTCAGTTTTTTACAAAGAACCAAAAAATCCATCAGAAACTGGTCTGGCAGAAAGTTTCATGGGATTTCTGAGTCAATTACAGAATTAGAATTGAAGATTAATGATCTTGAAATTAAAGCACAAAGTGGTGTTATCTCCCAACAGGCGTGGGATCAACTGGTACAGTTCAGATCGAACCTTTGGAGGTTGTATAGAATTGAAGAAAGTATTTGGTTCCAGAAATCAAGGGCTAGATGGATCAAAGATGGGGACAGAAACACGAGATTCTTTCATTTGTCTGTGTTAAACAGGAGTAAAAGAAATGAAATTTCAAGTTTGAAGTTTAATGGCTCTGATGTATCTGATCCGCAATTGATTAAGTTGCATATTGAGGATTATTTTAAGGAAGCCTATAATTCTAAGTTAACTCTGGAAGTGGCTGATTTATCTCTGGATTTTGCAAAGCTGACAGGACCAATCTTCAAAACTTGAGGAGAATTTTTCAGAAAATGAAATATGGCAAGCGATAGCTTCATCGGACAGTTCTAAAGCACTGGCCCGGATAACTTCACCATGGGTTTTTTCAAAAAATGTTGGCCTAGCTTAAAGGAGCAGGTTATGAATTTTTTCAGGATTTCTACTATGGTAGGGTATGGGAACATGGGGTGAATCATGCGTTTATTACGCTCATTCCGAAGAAACTTAATCCGGATAATGTGGAGGACTTTAGACCAATTAGTCTTGTGGGCAGTCTATATAAGATCCTTTCTAAAGTGTTATCCAAGAGATTGAGTTGTTGTGTTGGAGATATCATAAGTCAGTCTGAATATGCATTCATACCGGGGAGACAACTGTTGGACTGCGCTTTTATCGCGAATGAAGGAATTGATTATTGGAGAAAACAAGGGTTGCAAGGGGTTGTTTTAAAAGTCGACTTTCGGAGAGCTTATGATACTGTGGAATGGCCAATTTTATTTAGAGCAATGTCAGAGATGGGTTTAGGCTACAGATGGTCCTCGTGGATTTCTCAGTGCCTTTCGACAGCCTCGATTTCGATTCTAGTTAATGGGTCTCCTTCGGAAGAGTTTCCTATGGCCAAGGTTTACGACAAGGTTGTAGTCTCTCGCCGCTCTTGTTTAACATAGTTGGTGAGATACTCCATTTGATGTTATCCAAAGCAGTCGAAAAGGGATTGTTCCAAGGTTTTGTTATTGGGAGAGCTGAAAATTCTACTACATTGTCTCACCTACAGTTTGCGGACGACCTGATCATTTTTTGCCAAGCAAATATAACTCAGATCAAGAATGTCATAAGAGTGTTGAGGATTTTTGTCTTATGGCGGGTTTGCATCTAAATTTGGTGAAGAGTAAGCTGTTTGGAATTAACATGGAGGATGAAGTATTAGCAGATTGGGCATCACAAGTGGGCTGTTCAGTAGGTTATTTTCCAACAGAGTATTTGGGTCTTCCTCTGGGTGCTAAGAGAAATTCAGAGGCTTTATGGGATCCATTTTTAAGAATTTTAGTGCTAAACTTGCTGGTTGGAAAGCTTCATGTCTGTCATTGACCGGTAGGACAGTATTATTGAAGTCGGAGCTAACTTCTTTACCAATTTTTTTCTTATCTTGTTTAAAATGCCTTGCAAAGTTGGTAAGAAGTTAAATTCGTTAATAGCTAATTTTCTATGGGGTGACAAAGAGGAAAAGAGGAGAATTCATTGGGTGAATTGGAGTACGGTTTGTAGGCCATTGAATGGTGGCGGTTTAGGTGTCCAAGATTTGAATCTCACCAATCGGGCTCTATTGGGTAAGTGGGTGTGGAAATTTGCCAATGACAAAAATTCCCTATGGAAAAGAGTGTTGTGCACAAACACAAGGTTAGTTGCAATAATATCTATTAGGGAGGTCACTTATCCGCATTCTTCTTGGATTTTGAGAGAAATTGCTAATAATTACTTGAAGAATGATTCGGTAGGAGATTGTTTTAGATCAAGTTCGAAGTTGAAAGTGGGAAATGGAAAGTCCATTTCTTTTTGGAATGATGCATGGGCTGATGAGACTTCTTTAAAAAAAAATTTCCCTAGAATTTTTGTGCTCTCTCCTATTAAAGAGGGGAAGATCGTAGAGTTTGGAAGCTTTGAACCAAGCGGTTGGGTGTGGAATGTCCAAACTAGAAGGAATTTGTGTGATTGGGAATTGGTCCAATGGATGGATTTGATGTCTAAATGAACGATATCCAACTGTCAGAGCTGGTGGAAGATTCTTTATCGTGGTCTGCTAGTGGAGATGGTCTATATTCGGTCAAATCTTGCAGAAATACTCTTGCCAATGAGTTGGGGGTAGTGCTTTGTGGATACAAGGGGTTTGGATGGGTCTTGCTCCACCTCGGGTGGAAGCTTTCCTTTGGCAGCTCGCACATCAGAAAGTAGCAGTCAAAGCTGAGTTGGTTAAGAGAGGTACACCCCTAGGAGATGATATTTTGTGTCCCTTGTGTAAGAAACAGGAGGAATCAGTGCAGCATTTATTTATTTCTTGTTATGTTGTTTGGGAATTATGGAACAAAATAGTTAGTTTCTGGGACATATCGTTGGTGTTACCACAAGATCCTCCTTCGCTTCTTTGTTCATGGGGTGAGTTGAGGGTGAACTCGATGATTTGGAAATTTATCCCGGGAGTAATCTTTTGGTCAATCTGGAAAGTTAGGAATGCAATGGTTTTTGAAGGATCTCTTCTTGACAGAATGTCGTTGTTCTTCATTGTTAGATTCAGGCTTACTAAATGGTTCCTAGCCAAATTTCCTAAAATAACTATTCAGGAGGATGTATTGATTGGTAATCCATCCCTTGCAGATGGAGTATCACTATTGAAAGCTAAAGATCATCATGTCTTAAGATGGATTCCCCCCTCGGTAGATTTCCTAAAGATGAATGTCGACGGAGCTGTTAGGCTTGATGGATTCCCCTTTTGACTTTTTCAGAGAATGTTGGTCAAGGAACTCCTCCACTTGCTGAATTAAAAGCTATAAAAAGAGGCATTGAAATTTTTTTGTCTTCACGTTGGGAGTCTATTGGTAGGTTGATCGTTGAGAGTGATTGTTCGTCGGTAGTGGATTGGATTCATTCCCCGGTTCTGGCCCCAGTTTTTTTATCGCATCTTGTTTATCAGATTTCTACACTTATCACGGGAAAGGTTCATTCAGTGAGGTTAATTCCAAGGGCGTGCAATGGAGAGGCAGACAGTTTAGCAAAGAAAATGATAGGTTGACTGTGTGAGATGATTATTATGGCAGTTGGAGTGTTTAAGTATTATGTACTGGATTTTAGTGTAATTGTTAAATCTTATGTAAACTTTCAGTATCAATAAAAGTTCTAAGGCACTCTTTTCCTCCTTCCGCTGATTAAGGAGCTTATTCTAAAGCTTCATTAATCAAGAAGGGGGGTTTTAACGAGGCCTTCCATTCTTATCAAAAAAAAAATATTCATTTAAGACATCCAGAATAGTATTGTTGAATCAGATGTCAATAACAAAAGTATTAAATAATAAAGCAAATTAATAAAAATCCATGTTACTCTGGCTCAAGATTGAGGTTGGATACAAGTATGTGTTGCACGGGTAAGATCAATTTTTTACCTTGCAAAATTGATCACCAAGATTTGCACTGGTAATAAAAATGAACAAAGGATCTTGTTGTCTATGACAGCCAACTTTAATTGGAGCTTACAACAGGTAAATATTAAGAAAGTTTTCTTATGTGAAAAACTTCGATGAGGAGATTTATTGTGGATTTGCCTTAGGGATTTAATGTCAAAGATAAAAGAAACCACAGAATGTAGACTCAAATAAGCATTGTATGGTTTAGAACAATCTCCTAGAGCATGCTTTGGAATATTGTCACCAGAAATGATGTTACAAGGAAAAAAGGAAACAAAAAACAAAACAAGAATAGAGAGTCAAATGCAAGAATGAGTAGTAGAAAACAGAGTATTAATGTCAAGATATTACAGGGACCAAGCACACGAGAGAAGGAAGATAGAGGTGTACAAAATGATACTTGTATGAAAAGAGTTCTCCAAAGAATAATTTTGTGATAATAAAAACCTTTTGGCCTTTCTGTTTTACCTATTTGATCCGAATGGATTTTGAAAGGTTCAACTTATACATTTAAATTTGAACTGTCGTAAAGAAAAAGAGAGAAAATTATTTGCACATGAATATTGTTCTTGTATATTATTTATATAAAAAAATTTATAGTTGTGTGTGTTGGACGTAAGTCTTAATTTTCTTGAAATTTCAGTGTCACGACGTCTGTATCATCTTGTAATTGTATTGTATGTCCGCGCACAGTTAAAAGAAGGAACATTTGTCATTGTCTTGCAGAAAAATGAGGTGGATTTACCGAAGTAGAAAAAAAAAATTATAGACTTGCAAAAATAAGGTGGATTTACTAAAGACAAACTACTAAACAAAAGAATAGAATAGAAATTGTCAGGAAATTTGAACTTAAAAGCTTATACAGAAGCTGATTATGTAGGGTTGGTGGTGGATAAGAAGTCAATGTGACTCATTTCTAAGAGGAAATCTAGAGACATGGAGTACAAATCAACCGGTGGACGACAACAGTAATCATGAGCAAGGTTTGAAAATGATAATAAGTAAATTTGGAAGTAACTAAACAGAGCAGAAAGAAAGTGGAAAGTCCAAAAGGAAACAAGGCAAAGATAGCCATTTAACTGCTAAAATGTCGGGCCCTTTCAGAAGAAAATTAAAAATACAACTTCTTAAACCAATTTTAACAAGTTTTCAAGTTGAGAAGTTAAAGTAGAATATACAGGAAGGGAACTGAACTGAAAAAGGTACAGCAAAGTAAAAAAAAATGAGGAATATATCCCCATTATGAAGTGCAGGCGAAGCAAGAAGCATTTAACAAAAGATTAATTATATTAGAATAAACGGACAATAGTTTAGATTTTAAACAACTATAGATGAAGAAAATATAGATATGTTACACACATGTGGCATTCTAAATCTGAAATTTACCTTGTGGTTGGTAATATCTGTTGGCAATCTATATTCAAAAAGCCTCTTAGAGGATAACTTTTACTCTTAATCTCAGCCAGTATTGCACTGAAGATTGGCAAGCAAGCCTCAGCAGCTAGCCTATAGTCATCAACACTGCTCTTACCTCCAACCCTGAAATTCCACACCAAGAATAGTCACATAAGAAGGCTTGTATGAACTAGAGAAGAAATGACAAACTAGTTTAAATGACCCATTTGTACAAACATATTGCAATGAAAATATACATCCACATACCAGTCATATGATATCGAAACAGCTGGTATGTCATTGAAGAAGGCTTCTCGAGCACCAGCAACTGTACCAGAGTAGACACTGCTTCCAATAATAAGCTAAATCAGTCACAATGAGTAAACGCCAACTTTTCCCACAGCAGCATTTACAACATGATACAGAGCCATGGATAATGAAAATGAAATTAGGAGCCAACTAATATGTACGTGTATAGAGGAAAAACAAGATTACTAACATATGATAACCACAGTTGCTGCCCATGTTTATGCCACTGATAACCTGTGTGCATGGAACGGAAGAAAGTTAACATCTAGCAACACGATTAAACACAAAAAACCTATTTCACTTAGAGAGTCATATCCCCATGATCATGTCTAAATATGTGCCAGACAAGCATCTGACACGGGTATTTAAGTCTATGAAGAGTCGGAAGAAAACAAAAACCAAACAAACAAAAAGATCAATCTTTTTTGCAACATGGCCACACAATGATTTAGTCCAGAAAGGAGTTATAAAAACCACATTGGTCCAGAGGAGAAAAGAAAAATAGATTTCGCCATTGTCCCCAATTTGCATATGGAAGGATAAACTGATCTAAACTACTACATAAATAATTATACAACATTTCTATCATATTATTATTCAATACAGTAAGAGATATACCAGGTCAGGAATCGAGGAGAAGAGTGCTTCTGAGATACCCAAAGAAGTACAATCAGCTGGGGTTCCTACAAACAAAATCCATCAAGAATTGTAACTATGCCCTAAACTTAACTAGCATCTTTAAACAATGCATACTAAATATCAAGGTAAACTAAAAGGTCATGCCCGCTCCGAAGGTAGCCCTTGATATGTGTAGCCACAATCAATTGGTTAGTCAAAGTGAGCTTACTTCAATAATCTTAACATAAGTGGTGCTGTCTATGGGAAACTGTTCCAGTTCCTTACCAGCCTTCAGGCAAACATTTAGTCCACATCTTTGTCTAGCAGAACTTTTTTCGAGAAGAGAAAACAATCCCATATCAACTAGCCAATGATTGAATAGTGGTTAAGTATAGGACTACCTTCTTCTCATGAGACATCTTTTCTCAGAGGAAAAAATGGTGAGGATAGTCTTCACCTCTAAAACATACAATACCTCATGAGGGAAACATTTTGACAATCCTTAAATCAACAATCCTCAAAATTCTAAAACATAATTGTCATTAAAATTCACACTCATAATTATGTTTGACAGGGAATAAAAGGTAATTAAAACAAACCAGAAACAGCATAAGCGGTGGCTCCATCAATATCAACTTTCTTTACAGAAACAGGGTGAATCCATGTGATACTATGACTAACAGCTGATTTCTCCCTGAGAAAACAAAAGGAAAAAGTAAAATTTTATACAAGATGACCACGACAATCCTATTGTTTACAGAATCTACGATTTTCACCAAACAGTTGTAAGAACTCAAAATAAACAGCACTCAGCGGATAGCACGACGATCCTGTTATTTACGGAATCCACCACAGCACCACTAACTCAGATCAAACAGTCCTACGAACTCAAAATAAACAGCAATGAGAACAACGGTCCTATTATTTACAGAATCTGCCACTAACTTTCATCAAACAGTTGTAAAAACTCATAATAAACAGCAATAAGCACAACGATCCTATTATTTACAGAATCCAACACCAACTTCCATCAAACAGTGGTATGAACTAAGAAATAAATAGCAAATCGGCCGAGAGAATCAGGAAAGCGTTGTACATATGTAGGTTAGAAAGGATAAGGAATCAAGTGACGTACGAATCAGGAGCGCAAACCAGGACGCGAAATCGATTGGTGGAGACGAGGACGCGGACAAGAGATCGGAGTCCGGGGGCGTCGATTCCGTCGTCGTTCGTCACCATCACTGTTGGCCTGTCATCGGAGCTATTATTATTATTATCCATTTGGGCCGGCCGAAAGGAAAAGGAAAAGAAAAAGAAAAAACTGTGAGTGAAAGGCAACTAATGATAATTTCTTTAGTTAATGCTTCGTGTACGTCTATGGAATAAGACCAGCCGAATCTAATACTATGGAGTTCGTCGGTTCGCGTGTGATAGTATTTTGAGTAAACTATATCATTGACCATATAACTATTTATCTTTTTTATTTGATCATTATTTTTAAAATTTTATCAATTAGATCACTTATTTATTTAAATGCATTTAATCAAATCATTTACATCTAACATTTAATAAAAGTGTCGATGTGAAAGTTAATAAAATTAATATAATTATAATTTAATTTTCATTAATTACACATTCTATCATATTAGTCATAATTTTAAACTAATTTAATATGTTTAATCTTATAATTAATTGAAGATGCCAATAACTATGTTTGGCAAAAGTTTCACAACATTTCTTATTTAACTTATCAAAAAAATAAAAATAAAATTAACAATAGAACAACTCGAGCCCTTAGTACGAAATATAAAAAAAATTAAGGTCATAATACAAAATAAATATTATTAACTAAAAATATGAAAGTATTAAATTTATGTTTATTTTAAATCTTAGTTTAACTATATTTTTAAATATAACATGTATTTAATTATTAACTAATAATTACAACTGTTTTGGTTGGTTATTTTTTTATATTTCGTAATAGGTCAAGGTTTAAGTAGTTAAATTCTAGTTTACACAATATTACAATATTTTTTTTAGATTTGTATATGATTGTACGAATCATGTGTATTATATGGTAAAAGAATTATTGTTATTCTTGAATACCCAAATTCAAGCACCATAAATAATAAGGTATAAAAAAACAATAAATACCGACGAAATCATAACACTATAAAAATACTTTCTTATTATAAATAACACTTATATTGTGACTCAACCCCACTAAAATCAAATTATAGAAAATGTTATACTTTAACTAAACTTCAGAACCAGAACTCGGAAATCGAACGACTATGGTTATGTATGAGATGTCTTGAACTGCAGCAGCACTTTGAATTTGATCATTAATCATCTTGATAATCCTAATATATATAGCATGTCAGTAAAGTCTGGAAAGATGTTCATGCTATTTTGATATTCTTAGATCATTCATCATCTTAATCATCTAACCTTCTTATTAGATTAATTTTATGCCGAAAGAAATTAATTCAATTTCCATTTTTTTATATTTTTTTGGTAAAATTGATATCATATTCCTGTTTGGAAGGTTGAAAAAGTAAATTAAAAATTTTAAAATTCAATAATTGTTAGGATATCAATCGACGATGACAACCAATAATGATCAACAATGATGATGAACGGAATCCAACGATGTGAATTTTATTTGGGTTTAAGGGTTAATTTAATATTTTATATATTAAATTTAAGGATTATATTAATGTTTTATGTGAAATTTAAGGTAAATTAATATTCTATCGAAAATTTAATTAAAATTTAACCATTTTACTATCTTGTCATAAAAAAACCTAAAATAAAGTGATCAGAACACTTTTTTTTTTGAATGGATGATTAACTTCAAACAGACTAAAAACAGAAGAACCACCGAACATAACCAAACTTTTTTTTTGAATCGGTTTACGATTCAACCAATCCGATCGACCGGTTTGGTTCAAATAACCATGGAGTCAACTTTACAACCCTATAAAGATCCATCCCCTGTTTCCCTAAATGCATCCAAAACCTTAAAATCCAACTAAATTCTGATGGACGGTCCGAATCTGCGAAAACAACCGTCTTTGTCGTCCAATAACCACCGCAGATCCCGTTGGGAATCATCCACCACCACCGCCAATAGACACCCTTCCTCCACCTCCGCGAATAAAAACCCTTCCTCCACAACCGCAGACCCTAAATCCTCTACCAAGCCCAGCCCTTCCACCAAGACTGGCTCATCTCCAAGCTCCGCCGCTAAAAAGAAGTTACAGTCCGACCTAAATCAGCCTCATCTTCCTTTCCCCTTCCCCGATCCTGCCGCCCTTGGCCCTCCACCTCCACCGTCGTACGGGTTCCACATGCTGGAGCGTAGGACAATTGTCCTTTACGATGGCAGCGTACGCTCCTACTTTGCACTCCCACCCGATTATCAGGACTTTCCTACCCGACCCATACTTGGACCTCGCGACTTCGGTAGCCCAATGATGGGCTTCCGCAATAATCGTGATTATTGGAATTCTCCCGGCGATGGGTCTGGCCCGTTAAAGAGAAAGTACGGCGAAGAAGGAAAAGATCTTAGAGAGGAGAAAAAGGAGGAACCTGCGGTGCAAAGGTTCGGGCATGCCAATGCAAAAGTCTACACTTTGGGGTCTGGAGGGCCAGACTTCCTAGCAGGAACGAGTAGCCCGAATGAAGAAATGAGGTCGGCCAAGTATATGAGAGTTGGCGGGGGTCTTCAAAACAGTAATTTGGGGTTTAATAATAAGCATTTGGAAAGCGCTATAAAAAAGGCGTTTTTGCACTTTGTGAAGGCAGTATTTGATAATGCGGCACAGAAAAAGAATTACTTGGAGGATGGGAAACAAGGGCGGCTTCAATGCTTGGCTTGCGGCAAGTTTAATGCTAAATTTAGGTTTGATTCTGAATTGTAATTAACTTTTCTGATTCTGTTTTGTATTGTTCGATTTCCGTATTATGATTTAAAATCAGAACAGCGCTTTACTATCTAGGTGTTTTAGTTCTTACATAATGTGTCGTGTCGCAAATAGTTAGATTATATTATTTGTTATGCTGCTATTAATGGTTAAAGCTACAATGCTGTATTTTATAGGTGATATTGACTTAAGGGTACAGATATCTTGAATTGTGTTCAGTTGGCTTGTAATGCTTTTACTTGGGCACATGGCACTGAGATGTTGTAGGTGTCAGTGTTTGATGTTATTGTAGGTGCTTTTACTTAAGCGCTACTCTTTTGGATTATGTCCTTGTCTTGATAAAATGCTTTTTGGGAATCCGATAGATGTGTTATAGCATAGACTATTACTAATAGTATTAGCTGTTGAGTTTCAATAATAAGATTAAGTTCTCAATAAATAGATGGGGTTTTGGCAGTTTGTACAACAATTGTGAAATTCGGTTGAGGTACGACAATGCTGATGCAAAGTTGTCTTCCCTTTATTAATGGTTTTCTTGGCAAGCTCAACTATCTGACATTTCTAGGTTTTGGGTTAAGGTCTGCTATTTTATCCATTTCTTGGCAAACACAGAGATAATATTGCTTTTTTAGATTTTGTATTATAGCCCCTCTTTTTTCTCTTGATGGCAATGTAATAGAGCTTCAATAGGGATTCATCAATAATTAGATGATTATCTGTTCATCTGTGTGTCCTCTACGTTTACGTGTTCATATTTGGCTATGTTGTTTTACTGATGGATTTTAAATTAGATTATGCTTCATTTTTATTAATAAAATAGTATAATTTAATTTATGGATTGACATCAGTTTGAATGAGTCTGATCATTTGCATTTTCACCTGTCACTGTTGTTGAGTAGTAAGCATGTCCATAGTTGATATCCCTTTTCAAGTATCTTACATACAATTATTTAGGTTGCTGCTACATTTTACCCTTATGCATTTTATAACTACCTTCTCTTTTATGGCAACATGTTATTATTACCTTTGATTATTGGAGGCTTTGAGCTGGATATTCGTGGTAGATGTCAGTCTTTTTGGCTTAGTTGTTAGTAGCATATGGCCAATATTTTATTCTGCTTTGTACTAATACGTTCTGGTTTGTAACTTCGTTCTTATCTGCATTAGATAGCTGGGTTGGCCTGATTGTGGTAATTTTTAATTGCCATTCTTTTGGTGGTTGATAAGTTAAATTATTAGTAAGAATGAAGTTGAAGGCTGCTAGTGTAAGTTAATGTAATTACTAATTAGTCTTTAACTCTGTTTTTTTTTTTGCATTACCTTGTATGAAACAATTTGATGGGTGTGCCGTAGGCGGTCAGTCTTCCGGTGAGGAATGGATGGCGTTTGTCAACTATCTAAGTAAGAGGGTAACTTGGAGAACAGTAAAGGAAATTTTTCAACAGCAAGGTCGCGTTATTCGAGTTTACATTCCGAGTAGCTCCAACAAGAACTATAGAAACCATATGTTTGCTTTCGTTCAGTTTGCGAAGGAAGATGGGCTGATGAAGGCGATAGCAAATGTGAATGGTATTTGATAGATGGTAAGAAAGTCTCAGTTGGAGTAGCTAAGAACCAGAAGCAGAAGTTCAGGCAAGCTGCTAACAGTGATGTCAGAAGGGAAGAAGATAAGTTGAAAAAGGGAATGACATCGAGAAGAAGACTTGGATCAGAGTCGGTCAGTAAATTGAGGGATGAGAGATCATATAAGGATGCGCTAGTCTCTTATGATGAGCATAGGGAAGTTCAGGCGAGTAAAGAGATTAAGGAGGGTCGTCCAGGAAAGGAAAAAGGGCTTAGGAATGTGTGGGAGATGCATATCCCATTAGACGAGTATGATTGGGTTAAAAGATCATTGACTGGAATTATTAAATCCCACTTTGATTTGGAGTTAGTGGTGAAGGGGATGGCTAGCGATGGAATCATAGTCAAGGGAGCTAAATGGGGTTATACTTGGAACTCTTGTATCTTAACTTTTGATTCAGTGGAAGAATTAGAGAAGGCAAGGTCGAGCAGAGGGGAGGATCTGTTTTTTTGGTTTGACTGGCTTGACCCGCTCATGAGCGAAGAAGGTGTTCCGTTGGCATTTTGTTCAGTTGAATTGGTTGGAATTCCCTTATTATGTTGGAACGTATCTTTTTTGGAAAAGTTACTTTCAAAATGGGGGAAGTTGGTCTGCATTCATGAGTCGACGATCAAAAGGGAGGATATGGCGGTGGCAAGGGCTCTACTGAAGGTGGCCAGCCCGTTCGACATACAGGAATTTGTTAATATGGGTTCGTATGGGCGTTCTTTTAAGGTTAAAATTAATTTGAGATCGGTTAGTATCAAACAGGAAAGCATTGCAGCAAAAAAATCTATGGTGGCCGGCAATGGTGTGCACAGTAACGACGCTCTAGCAGAGGATGAAGAAGATAGGCATTCAGTCGGAGTTGGTAATCAGGACTTGATAGCTGAGGATTCTATGGACACAGATGACAGGTGGTTGGTAGGGGATAACTGTACATCTATGGCAGGCGGCAAAGGGGAAGAGCATTTATTGTCGCAGGAATTACAAGGTTAAACTAGTGGTGCTAAGATGTCAGAATCATCAGATGGGATTTTGAATTTTAAAGGGGATTATCGAGGTCTTGAATTAAGGGATGATTTTTTTAGATGAAAGTGTGGCAGCCCAATCTGTGGATTCGAGTGAGCCCACCCCATTTTCTCCTTCTGGGCCTACTGTTAATCTAATTAATTTGGGGTTTGGTAAAGTGAATGAATCCAGGCTGGAGGCTTTGGTGGATCCGCAGTAAACTGGTTTGGCTGAGTTTAATGGGCATAAATCGGTTAATGATCCTTCTTATTTACTCCCAACTCCTATTCCTGGTGGGGTCATCGTCAGGATTTCGCTAATAAGTCCAATGAGGTTTTGATTGATGGAGGGACAATCCTGAACAAAGAAGCTAGTAGTGAAGAAGTTATAGAGGAGGTTAGGGTAGAAAAGTCGCTTCACATGGGCAGAAACCAGGGGAGAGGATGTTCTAAGGAGACTCATGCTATTGGCTTTAATAGCTGGAGTCCTTTCAATCACCTGTATAGAAGTCTGCATTTGGGAAGATGGAATAGAGGGTCTATATCTAGAGTGTATAGAAGATCTAGAGAAAGAAAGGTGTGGTTTAATCCAAGCAGAGAAAATGGGACATTGCAACCACCGGAGTCGTCTGATCACAACATGTCTAGAATTATTTCTATCTCGAGTAATCTACCTATTACTAATATCTCGGAGAGAAGTCCAAATGGGATCCAGGATGAAGGTGGTTCTAGTCAGAATTCGGAGGTAGACCGGTTACAGCGTCCCCGGGCGCTGGTGATGGTGTAAAAGGTGTTCAGCCTGGATAAGAAGCAAGGAATGGTATTAGAAGAAAGAAAAGGATTTTGATTAGGGAAGCACTGGATGTGGCTAGTATCCCTATTGTGTATTCTTCAAATTTCTCCTTATTTTTAGAATAGGCATTGGCTACATGGGAAGTCAGTAAATTGCTAGGGATCTTATTCAAAGAGGGGAAGAAGGCCTTTTTGGATAAAATAATTAATCTGGAAAAGGGTTTGGCTGAATGTAGGGAAGGGGTGGATCGGGGGAGTAAGGATCTTTTGGCTGCTTTGCTTTGAGGTTTCGGTTTCATATATATATCCATGGTACATATTAAGATTATTTCTTGGAACATTAGGGGTATTCGTAAAAAGGAAAAATCAAGAGCCGTAGCTAATATGGTCAAGAATTATAACCATGCATTCTTCTCATTCAAGAAACAAAGCTTGAAAAATGTTCTCAGGCTATTAGGAGAAGGATAGGTGGAAGTATTCTTAATGGTTGGATTGTCGTTCAGCAATGGGGTTTGCAGGAGGATTAATGTTGTTGTGGAATGATAAGGAATTTGAAGTTACAAATAGTCATTTAAGTAGCAAATTCATAGCTATATTTGGAAAATTTAAGAATTCCTGTGATAAATGTGTGATTATTAATGACTATGGTCCAAGCATTGATTCTGAAAAGGAGGATTTTTTTCAGGGAGTTGCTGAATTTTGTCGCTGCTCAAACCGTATCAGTTTGCATTGGGGGAGATTTTAATGTGTATCTAGATCCGGCAGAGAAGATAGGAATGTCCCAGAACTGGTTTTCTATAGATATTCTTAGAAATTTCCTGAATCAAACTAACTTAATCGATCTACCTATGGTTGGGGGAAGGTTTACTTGGTGTAATAATAGAGAAGCCTCTACTTGGGTCAGATTGGATAGGTTCTTAATTTCTGGGAATTTTCTGATCAGTTTTCCTAATGTTGTGCAAAGCATGTTACCGAGGTCTTTATCTGATCATAATCCCGTTTCTTTGGAGGAAAAATCTGTTGATTGGGGTCCCAAACCATTCAGATTTTTTAATTATCTTCTTGAGGAAGAAGGTTTCGAGGATATGGTTAAATCATCCTTGGATGTTTCGAGGGGGAGTAGAAAGAGTAGGGGCATTTTTAGCATTCTACAAGGAGCTAAAAAATCGATCAGAAGTTGGTCAGGCAGAAGGTTCAATGGAATTTCTGAGTCTATTGCAGGTTTGGAATTGAAGGTTAATGATCTTGAATTTAAGGCTCAAACTGAGGATCTCTCCCAACAGGACTGGGGGCAATTATTGCAGTTCAGATCGAATCTCTGGAAGTTTTATAGGATTGAAGAAAGCATTTGGTTCCAGAAATCAAGGGCGAGATGGATTAAAGATGGGGATGAAACACTAGATTTTTTCATTTAATTGCTCTAAACAGGAGTAGAAGAAATGAAATTACTAGTTTGAAGATCAATGGTTCTGTAGTCGCAGATCCGCAATCTATTAAGTTTCATATTGCGGCCTATTTTAAGGAATCCTATAGCTCTAAGTTAACACTGGGTGTAGAGGATTTATCCCTGGAT